CCCGCCAGCTCCTTGGTGAGCGCGTCCAGGCGCTGGCGCAGCTGGCGCACCTCCTCGCGCGCGCGGTTGCGCTCGGCGCGCACCTTGCTCCACTTCTCGCGCCAGTTCGCCGTGCAGTCTGACCACCAGCGCATGGTCTTCTCCATCTGCGCCGCGCGCGCGCGTGCCTCCTCCAGCTCCCGCAGCCGCAGCTCCTCGCGGCTCTCCCAGTCCCCATCGGCCAGCAGCGCGGGTGGGGGCGCGGGCAGGGCGGGCGGCAGGGCCAGCACGGGCGGGGGTCCCGGCGAGGGCGTACCGCTGGACGGCGTGGGGGGCAGCGAGTCGGCCGGTCCCGTGCGCTCCGGCGAAGGGCCGCCCAGGATGGTCAGGAGGCTGCCCTTGACCAGCTGCGGGGATTCGGCCAGCCGGGGGCTCGGCCCGTGGCTCATGGTGCGGCCGAGCAGGCTCTAGACTCAACTCTTGTGGGTCAGGATCAGGGACTGAGCAGGAGACGCCGGGTAGGCGCGACACCACTGTACATGGTGACTGTCAGGACTCGCTGCTCTCAGACCTGCCTCCTGGGATCTGCGGGAGAACAGGACCCCGGTTAGGCTGTGACCACCCTCAGTACCTAAGATCAGCCATGAGGGTACAGCAGTGCCCAGTACAAGGGGGGTGCTCCAGGGCGGAACACCTCCAGCCCCCTAGTCTCCATCCCTTAGCAATGCGGCTGATCTAAACTTTGCCTTGCTGGCCCACTGCTCTACCACCCGCTGGAGGGCCGCAGACTCCACATCCACACCAAACCACGAAGGACCATGACATATTTGCTTACAACCACCTTCTGTCCTGCTGCTGTGACCTCTCCCTTCGCAAGTCTAACTTCTTATCCTTAAAACTCCTCTGAAGTCCCCCTAGAGGCCCTCCCGAACCCCAAGACAGGTTCAGAAGCTCCTGTTTCCCCCATCTGCAGGAACCAACCCTGTTGTGTATCCATGCACACTCCCCACCCCATCCCAGGCTGGGAGTGCTGAGAGCAGGGGCTGTTGGCTCTGGCCACTGCTGTAGTCCTGGTGTGGGATGACAATTTGGTGGAGATCTGACTGCCGGCCAGGGCTTTATGCAAATCACATCCTTTATTTATTCTTCTCAGATGCTAGCTGAGAAAAATTATCACCACCATTTACAAGGTTCATGAGTCCAAATGCAAACACTGGTGAGGGTGGGTCGATTAAACGCATATGGGCAGAAACAGATGGGTCTGAGATGGTGGTGAGCTGGGGTTGTAGGAAGCCCCCAGCCTCTGCCACAGGCACCCCCCCCTCCCCCATCATGCACACCTTGCAGATATCTCCTCTGGCTGGTCTGTCTGTCTGTTTCTTTTTGGCAGTGCAAGGGGTTGAATTCAGGGCCTCTTCTTTGTCAGGCAAGCACTCTATCACTTGAGCCAGGCCCTCAGCCCTTTTTGCTTTATTTTGTCCTACTTACGCTTCCTGTGTAGCTGAATACCTGCCACTTCTGAGTGACCAGTGCATGATTAGTGGTGCTCTCAGCAAAACTGAGGGGACGTGGACACTGGCTGTTCCCAAGGCTGCCTGGTCACGCTCATGTTCCCCTCCATCTCCCTCAGTCCCAAACCCTCCCAGGAACTGCAGGTGATCTAATGTGAAGGAAGCTGTCAAGCTAGCTTTCCTTTCTGCCAGAGACAGCACCTGCTTGAGTACAGGCTTTCCTCCTACCCATCCAGCCCTGTGATGATGTCCTTGCCACCATCCTCACCCAGCCCCTCCTGGCACTCTCCCCTCCCCTCCCTCCACATCTTGTCATGGCCCACCCAGAATGGTCCAAACTCATCCCCCTCCCCATATTAATGCCACTGCCATGCTGTGCCCTCTTCAACTCTGGACACAACTGCGCCGGCTGCCTTAGGTCATTCTCTTCCAGATTCTGTCCTCTTGTGTTTCCCTCCTCTCCCATCTCCTCCCCTCTGCCTTCACCTGAGTCACTGCCCACCACTTTTGACCTCCTTCAGATCCATTCTCACAGTAATAGCCAGAATGAATTTTTTTTTTAACAGTACTCAGGGCCCAGGTGCTGTCCTAGGAGCTTCTTTAGCTTAAGACTAGCACTACCACTAGAGCCACAGGGCCACTTCCCGCCTTTTCTGAGTAAGTAGTTTTGATTGGAGATAAGAGTCTCATGGACTTTCCTTCCCCAGGCTGACTTTGAACCATGATCCTCAGATCTCAGCCTCCTGAATAGCAAGGATTACAGGCATGAGCCACCAGCACCCCCAGTACCCAGCACAGAGGGAATTTTTAAAATGTGAATCTGACTGGCTCTTTGTATAAATGGGACTCCTACTCCTTCTAGAACTCTAACTCCAATCTTTCTTCTTCAATCTAAAGGAGCCATGGCCCACTGCTGTAGCTCCCAGGCTGTGGTCTTAACCTAACCCAGGCCCCGAAAGGGCCCAGTCTCTCTCCTGTTCTTGTGTCTAGGCTGACACCAGCCCTGGTTACCCCCGAGCTGCACCTGCTCCTACCTTTACCTGGGTGGCGAGGCACCGCAGGCCTCCCAGCCCTGTTTTAGATCTGTGACCAGAGTGGTGTGAGCTCCCCTGGCCTTGGTGAGCTTGTGTTGTTGGTGACTGAACATCTGCCTTCACCGGACAGGTACCCTCGGCTCAGCTCTGTCACCAAGAAACAAGGCCCTTTGGGGCCTCAGGTTCTGTCCCCTGTGGAATGGGTGGAGGCGAGGGGTATGCTTCAAGTTCACCTACACACTTGCTGAAATGCAGGATCTTGGGACAGGCCCCCAGAGGGGGTGCAACTGAGTATGCGCTGTAGGGTCCAAGCCTGGGTCACATGAGTATTCAAGCTGCCTTCTAACCACCCAGAGTTCCACACAGACGTGTGTCCTGAGCCCAGGACTACCCAGGATCCAGGATCCAGGACTATCCAGGATCCAGGTCCACAGACATTTCTAATAGCACCAGGAATCCCTGGCAGACTGAGTGCACACCTGCACATGGCAGATGGGTCAAAAGATGAGCAAAGATAGCCCTTTGAGAAGCGGTTCCCCCACGTATACATGCACTCCTGTGTGTATGTGTGTGTGTGCGTGCATGCACACACAATCACTCACTCTTGCTCTCCTCCTTTCTCCACTTTCCTGGCCCAGCGCCACAGAGAAGCTCTTGGAAAAGAGAAACAATGTGAGCCAGTGCCTGTGGAGGAGGAGAGGAGAAGGAGGCAGGAAACCCGAGTGCCAGCCAGCCAGCAGCAGCCCCCTGTCTGGACACTGCACAGCAGGGCTGGCCTGGCATCCAGGGGCTTTCAGTAGCCCCTAAAATAGGAGTGTGCCTGGTGTGGGGCTTGGCCAGAGGGGCACAAGCTCCTTCCAAGAATCCCAAGCTTATGGTACAGGAGCAGGGCAGGCGTCATCCGGGCCCTAATGGCTTCCAGGCACCCACGCTGAAGGCAAGGATGGAGATGGAGAGTCAGCCCTCAGTCTGGGCTCCTTCTGGGGGTGGGGGCAGGGAAGAGAAGGGAATTGAGAGGGAAGGGGTAAGGAGGAAGTGTTTAGGCTGGTTTTCTGGAAATGCACATCACTAACCCACCACAAATCCTGCACGCTTGTGCAGCGCCAACATCTAGTAACTCCTACCTAGCAACTCCCCCAGTTCCACCCCACTCACACAGTTCATAGGCAGCCCTGGCAACCTGTACCCAGACGCCAGCTCCTGTAGAGAGCCAGGCTCCTTCTTCCCAGGGGTGTGTGTGTGTGTGTGTGTGTGTGTATTATCCTGATTCTTCAAGGAGCAGGTTAGGGTAGAATTAACCTTCATGGGCCCTAGGGAGCTTTTCCTCACTCTATTTCCCTCTCCTGTTTCTCCAAAGTCAACCAGACCTCTCTTAAAAATCAATTATTTAGGTGGGTACTGGTGGCTCACACTTGTAATTCTAGCTACTCAGGAAGCTGAGAACTGAGGATCATGATTTGAAGCCAGCCCAAGCAGAAAAGTATGTGAGATTCTCTATCTCCAATGAACTACTCAGAAAAAGCCAGAAGCCATGGGTG